GTCTCTTCAAAATGAAGCGGGAACTCTAATTAGAACTAGAATTGAAATTTTATTGTTGAGATGCTAACTTCACACACGCTTAAAATAAAAAATCTTGTTACTTCAGACAAGAGACTACTTCGTTCTCTCCTCCTTTCTATTTCTATCCTTGTGTATTATTACTCTGTTCTCCGCTGTTGTTCGTTTAGATAATAGTAATTACTTTTAGTAATTACATTTGTATTAGACTCTGGTCCTGCCGTTACCAGGACGCGTGGCCGCGCAATGGTTTCCTTCTACCCAACTCTCGACCGCCACGTCTTTGGGTATTTTTGGCAATCAATTGGGAGTGTCGTTAGGTTTTTTAATAGGACCTATGATAGTGAAAAACCACGACAGCCTGGAGGACATTGGCAAAGATTTGTCACGTTTATGCTTGATCGTTGCAATCGTCTCCACGATTGTATTTGCTGTGGTGCTTACACGTAAGTTCGTAATCTGTTATTAATAGATCAAATAGTAGTTTGCCAACATAAGTGTTTAATTCTCATCTGCGATCGAAACATATCTGAGCTGATGTGAAAAATGCTTTTCTAGCTTTTTTATAATCTTTTACGCATGCCGGAAGTCATTTTTTAATTTAATAAAATAACAAAATTAAATTTTCTTATATTGCATATATTAATATAACATTTATACTTTCGTTTTTACGCAACGTGTTAACTTCGATGAATAAGATCTGAATGTTTCTTTCAAACGGTATTATTGGTGTTCGTTAAGCCGAGGTAATCCCTTATAGATACTCGTATTAATTAAAGAAAGCTATCCTTCAATATATCTATCAAATTTTCAACGTAGCTAAATTTTCCAATACAGCCGATAATCTACTTTAATCCCGGTTTCTTTTTCCGAGAGTTTTATTTTTATTTATTTCAGCTAACCGCACAAGAGGATAAACCGTTTAATTAATTAGAGATCGCTCGCGCGTCCCCAGGAAAGATTATCGTGTTTTAATCTTCTCAATGTGCTTCCGCGTCAGTATTTCAGAACGAACCGAAACTGCCGCCGAGCGAGACGCGGGCGTTGCAAAAAATAAGTCGGACGAAGAAAAGGGAGGAATTCGTGGCGCCGATTAAAAGGCTCTGCAAAAACAAAAACTACATCATGCTCTGTAATTCCTACGGTTTGAACGTCGGCGTGCTGAACGCGGTGTCTACATTACTCAATCAGATATTCCTCGCGCACTTCAAGGTGAGCGAGTGAATCTCGATGCGGCGGATCAAACGTGAAGAGGGAGAAATTCGCGCAAATATTTAGGAATTTACATTTCAATAATATCCAAAGATATTTTCCTACATTTTTGCACATATATCGAAAGTCAAGACATACGTACATTATGCGCATGTGTTTTAGAATGGAGAAGAGGACGCAGGCAGAATTGGCTTAGCTATAATTCTCACCGGTATGGCCGGCTCCGTTAGCTTCGGTATCATCCTTGATAAAACGCATAAGTTCAAGTAAGAAAGATGTCTGCAATTGTCTCGGAAATTCAATTTTAATTTACTTCTGACAGCGTTTACCCTAAATCATGCGCCAGAAACATCGGCTAATGATTTGCATTTTCAGACAAACTGCCGTGACCGTATACTTTCTTACATTTTGTGGTCAAATATTATTCGCGGTATTTACATGCTTGGGCATAAAGTGGATGGTGTATGTGTCAGCGATTTTCTTAGGGTAACGTATATCGACATTTGTATTCACGCGAATATTAAAGAGATGTTCTATAATAATTTTAAAAAATGTATCGTGTAAAACATATGGATAAAAGAAATCCATCTTTTAACAATTTAGTTAATTTAGTAAAATGTAATTATTGCTCTCATTTTGTTAACGTAAAATCCTATTTGCAATATAAAATAAAATTATAGATTTTTATATTTTACTTCTGCTCTCTTTTCTATTACATCTTATTTGACTTATTATATCTATTATAATTTATACTTATTTTAAATATATTATCTATTGACATGTTGACTGCCAACTACGAGTATTATCTTGTAGAAAATCTACGATATACGACATAAAGATGACTCGTAGTTGACAGTTAACGTATTAAAATAGAATTAGGGATACTTATTACATTTTCGGTATAATTACTCGTTTGTAGATTCTTCATGTCGGGATATCTGGCGTTGGGATATGACCTGTGCACCGAATTTACGTACCCGGAGTCGGAGAATATACCGGCGGGACTTCTCAATATAACGACCAGCATATATGGCATTATACTCATTGTCATATTTGGATTATTGCTGAATGCGTACGGCGACATTCCGGTGCACGTCGGTTTGTGCTTGGCTTTGCTGCTCGGTTTTATCTTAACCGCCGTAACGAAGGACGAGCAGAGACGGCAGGACGCGAGAAGGAAGGCTCGATACGAGGAAATCGCAAAAATTGAGAAGAACGTCGATGGCGTTCCAGAAACTAATCAACTAACTCGTAGCGATTAATTAATAGATACACAGATTAATATTAATCTCTCTAACAAATTTTCAAACAGACAGAGATTTCGTTCAAATTCTAATTTTTATCAATGTTATTTTCATCTCCTAAGTCATATATTGCAATAAATACTTTAAAAAAACTTAATCTCATATTGTGTGCGCAGATGGAAATTACACGTCGCTTTTCACGAGAACGTAGAGCCGTATATTAAATCTCTTTTTTTACGAAAGTAACTCTTGCCAACAAGTAATATGGCATACTTTGATATTGCTTCTACCATAAAATGGAACGAGATTATACCGACAAGATTAACTTTACAGTATGGTAGGAAAAGGGATTTAACACCACATAGTACTACTCCTACAAAAGTAAGCAACAAGGATCTTGTGCAACATTGAAATTAAAATTTTACGATTTTTTTTCTCAGAAATTATGAATAATCACCAATTTGTCTGAACTCCTACTTAAAGTTTAATATAACATTTCGTTTTATATACGCATGAGATGCTCAATTAATTAAAAATGACAAATTTAAATTTATGATTGACACTGTAGCAACACTGCAAACAGCGCCTTTAACATTTCGTATAACAAGTCTCTTATTTAATTTTTTGTACAAACGTATATAAAACCGCACCAAAAAAATGACATAAATCATATATATTGTGAAAAATGAGAAACGTAAATAAAATACGAATATAAATTAACAAACGGTATACAACAGACATATTCCAATAAAATTTTAGAATATATTTTTAAGCAATTTAAATATGAATAATTTCATACTTAAATATAGGTAAATAAACGGTCGCAAAATATTGCATAAATTTCCCATATTTTGCGCAACGTTAAAACATGTCATATAAAGCTTGAAGTCTATCGGTAATCGTTGATCGCAGAAGAATAAATATTATATTTATTACATAATAATATACACTATTTTCCCACTGCAAATATAAGCGTGACGCGATATTTTCTGTGACAAAATCTCTTCCCTCTCTTTCCCATCCTCTCTGCTGAAATGTCTCTACGTTATGCAAATTTTAATCTTTTTCGATGCTATAAAAAGGTTCCATCTTGGTGATTGCCATCAAATATTTAGCTCGTCGAAAAATAAAAAATACAGGGACGCAAAAGTTTCGCCGTATCAATTTCGACACGCGCGCATCGATTGAATGATTAGGTAGAAGCCATTTCGAGTGTACCAACGCGGCACGAACGCTTTATCGGACGGAGAGGAGGACAACCTCGGCGCGCGTTTTGTTTTTAGATAAACACACAAAGCCGATGGAAATGAACGCCGCATAATACGCTGCATTTGACGCGTGACATGACGGACGCGTCTACCACTTGTTACTCGACCAGAGAGAATACTTGATATACTCAATCAGAGAACAAAAGTTCTCTCGACGCGCGGGGCTATTATATCGCATGCTTTCGATCAACCCGACACTCATGTCGTCTGTCTGCGACAGCGTTGTTATCTCGATTTCACCGAGTCGCGCGACATTGCGCGCCGCGCGTGCGCGCTCGTCTTTTCTATTCATCTTTCTTGTCGCGCGCGCGAACACATAAGTTGGACGTCAGAATGTTTCTCAGACCAGAAATTATATCCATTATTTCCCCTCTTCTCTTATTTCTAGTAAACATCTGCACGCAAACGGCCAAGAACTTTAGAACGCCCAAACATTTCTATTACGTCTTACGAAGTAAAGAAAGCTAAATGATTCTTCCGACAGGAATTGGAAGAAGAATGATCGATTGCAGCTCTCGTGTCGAAGAATTTCTCTCTCATTAAGATTTAATTAAAATATATCTAACGTATCAGATGTTCGTGACGGACGACATTTATATAAATAGAGAATAGACGGAGATCTGAAGTAACGGACAAGTTCGACAAGATGAATACCTTGACAAATAACGAATATCGACGAGGGAGTGTCACATTTACGTGATGTAATGCGCGCTCGACGACACGCGCGCGCGCGCGCGTCGGTCGGCAGGTTCTAACTATTAATAAGCGTACGGACAAGTCAGAATCCTAATTAACGGCGCGTCGCTCAACTTCACTGTCAATCCGCGGCGATTAATTCGCGCGCGCGCGCGCGCGTTTCTGAAATCCGTCCTGAGAACGAATTTATAATAGGCGCGGGCAGGCGCGGGCGATCTTACGAATTCATAAGGTATGCATTACAGTTGCGCGCGCGATCTTAAATTCCGGACACGTCCTTAATTCACGCAAGCCATTACAACACCCGCTACTACAATGGATGTGTCCCCGCGCTCCCGTGCTCGAAACAAACCCGAATGACGAAAAACATCGATCCGGCCGTTCGCCAAGGGACACATGTGCACACGTTGTTATTATTACTTAAATATTTTGTTTTCATTCTTAAAAAATATCTCGTACAAATCGATAAAAAAAAAAAAACTAAAATTTCCCGACGTAGTTGGGATCCTCGTTTATATATAGATTTCGATTCTAGTAACTTGAATTTTTTAGCAAATCGCTATGTATATACGCGCGAGAGAAGTGCAATAATTTGTCCGGCATATAAACCCGAATATTTTATCTCCCTCGGAAAACACTCGGGAAAAACACTGCTGTTGCTACCACCGTGTGAATTCGAGAGAGCATTCGCACCGTTTATCAGCATCTAAATCGCTAATTTGCTACGCGACGAGAAACGCACCGCGCGGAATATATATTCTATCACGATGGTGAAAGCGTTACGCCGTATTATCTATCTGTTTACGTATACCTGCAGTGTATGCATATCACCACGGCAACTCAGATATGAAAATTGGACAGTTATGGAGAGCACGGACGTATCCCGCGCCGCCCGGAGGTGGAACACGTACGCTCCGATCGTATTTGATTTGTCTTGCCACAATTTTTATACCCATTCCGTTTCCCCGAGCGGAAACGAGAGGAGCCAATTGGACCGTGAGTTTGACGTAAAATTGACGTATAACCAGAATATAACGACAGACGTCACTTCGCCCGCCGCGAACACATTCTTAACACGTAATACGGGTAACATCGCGTATTACGAAACGGCAGCGAAACGAAACAAAAAAAAAACGAAATCGTTTTCGTCTTCACCTTGTTTCGTATTCACGGGGCTTAGCTCCACCCGATATCTCGGTACGATCGGCAGGTACGCATATAAAGACGGAATCGGCGATCCGGCGAAGATCAGTCCGAGGCTTTTCGGTGCGCGTATTAGCAGCGACATTAAACACACCGGGGCGAAAATGAGGGAGACGGTAAAAACAAAACAAAAACAGCATTTCATTCCCGCGTTTGAACGGCAAAGATATTCGACGCGTGCGTTTCGTTGTCGAAGAAACTATATTGGCCTCGTTTTAAACAGCGGATTCAAGGAACAATACGATCGCGCCGGATAAGACGATATTAGTAGTGCAACGAGTGCACAGTGCGCAAGTGCTTACGCCAAGAGTTCGGGATCCGCTATTGGCAAATGTTTGAAATAGATAATTTACGTCGTGAACAAAACAGCTCTCACAACTCTGTAACGATTATTATTTACGATCACGATAAAATTATTATTTACGAGATCTGAGTATAATTATAAGTAAAAATTCACGATATAAAACGTTTCCTACATTATTACGGGTTTTTGCATTCACATAAATTCTACTAAATACTACTGCATTCGCTAAACTGAAACGTTTTAAAAATCTGTATCATCCCCAGTTGAAAGTTTTAATGAGATTATAATTTTAACGTTTATTTTAAATGTGCAGTTAAATTTATATATGTTCAGATAAATGATGAACATTACGAATAAAAGGAACGCAGGTTTCGATATTCTCGAAATAAACACAGCGAGCATCGGAATAAACGAATGAGGATAACGCGCGCTCTGCAAGCGTTTGCGCTGCACGGCCGTTCGAACGCGTGTCGCATCGGCCCTCTCTTTACCTAAATCGATTCTGTATTTTTTTTTCCTTTTTTTCAGCTCATCCTCGTCCTCCTTTATATCGGACTGGCGGTGACGTCAGATTTATCGGGGTATAAGCCCAGGGGCTGGCGTCCTAATGGCCGGCGTTTTAATCCCAACAACAATCGATTGCATGCGTATTACGATGCCCCGGGATTACAAAGCTACGAACCCCCGGATACCGCAACTACCTATCGCGACCCGTTATTCACGACGACCACGACAACGCGACCGCGGACCACCACTGTAAAAACCACGACGACGACGACGCCGCGCAGCAGGGAACCGACGACGACGCCGAGCGGACAGCCCGAGGACGATTTCGAGACGGCGAATCCGGCGCTGGCGATCGCGAATTCTTTCGCGTTCAATCGGCCTGTGTACGTTTACAATACCTTCCCATTTCTACCGGCCCAGATTATCGCGTAATAACGCGAAATGAAGAATATCTGCATCGCAAAAATACACAAATGAATAAAAAAAGAACTTTCAATTATTGACGAAGAAAACTTCGTCGTCGAGAATCAAAACATCGAAACTCTTGTCTTTGTCTTTTCAAACACTATTTTTATATTAGGTCTCTTACAACTGTGCAAGAGGTATTATTATAGACAAATTCACAAAAATAAAAAGTTATTTGTATGAAATCATGTCAGTAAATACATCAAAAAATTATTTTTTATGACTCTAGAGAAATAATCTATTTAAAAATTAATATAAATTATTTGATGTTTTAAGATAACACGTACTACAAATATCTCATATATTTCGATCTCTAATCAATCATTTTTATTTCTCGTTTTTATAGCGCTCATTGCACGCTATTCGCTCTTTTATTTTGTACAAATTTTGTAAAATAAATGCTTTCAAATAAAAACTAAGCAAAATAGCATGTAAAGAAAACAATTATTAATATAATCCCCCTCTTTCACCAAATTGTAACAATATAAAAAGTATTTAAAAAGTTTATCATAGTAAAACGTATAATTTGTTTGATAATTATCTTGGATGAAAATTTTATAAAAATCATTATCAATAAGAAGTATCAATAAATACGACATCAAAAACGACTCATTAAACGATTTTTGGTAAAAAGAACATAATTTGTTAAAGGTGCCGTTAAATAATTTATAAGGTACCATTAAAAACCGCAGCTATAATAGTTTCAAGAAAATTTTCCAGTAAAATAATTATAGAAAGGGTTAATATGACTAACTGATGTTAAATCTCATCTCGCTTGTATCACTTATACATATCTAATATGTTTGAAATTTCTCCAAGTTTTTTTTTTAACTCTCTTGCAACAACTTCCTCGTGAAGTCCGGATAATCATTGATATTACGGTGAAAATATAAACCATCAGAAACAAGATATAATTAATTACCGAATATCAATAAACTAATATAGCTGCGTTAGATATTGAAAAGTTACCTTTTCTCTAAAGAGAGATATTTTATTTTAAAAATCTATTACTATATCTAATGAGCTAATAAAGTGTTCGCTCTATAGAAGGTAAATGACATCACTTGCCAATATTCCAGCATAATAAACTTTTCGATAATAAGACAAAATTCAACAATGCAATCCCACTAAATATAAAATAATTAACAGTGTAACATTACATCAATTCATAATTTTCCACTCAACAAACATATAAATATATACCGCAATACATTATTATACGTAACAGTTACACAGTTGCGGAAAATTGTAACATTGACGTAACGTTATTGTTTTTGTTACTGATGTAATGTTATTGTGTTTAGCGAGATTCAATGATATACATATAACAGCGTACGAATTAATTAATAATTTGACAATTAACAGACTCACCAGGTGTCGTCGAAGCCGCTGTTAAACATCTCCGACGATCCCCGAAGATTATAGATGCGATTCGCGTAAATTTATTACTCTGAAAAAAAAATCGAGAAATTGTGAACTGCAGTTATATAGCGATGGGACTCCATTCTGTAAAAGTTTCGCGATTGTCAAAAATCGGGATCTCTACTTTTATGTGATCGGCGTCCTGGATGCGTGCGTAAATCGAGTTGTCGCAGGTCGAAACGGCGCGACCTGACGCGTCTCAAAGATGCATGGCACTCAGGAGATTTGTTTCCATCACGCTTTTTCTATTCTCTCACTCGCGTGTTGCGGACCGAAACGCAACGTACGTTTGTACGCTTTACGCGCCGCGGAACTACATTGTCGCTGCACGGTTACCAACTGCGCAAACCTCCAACAATTCCGACTCGTCGAACAATTATATTTTTAAGATATGTATGTACCATCAGAGAGAAGCGTCTCTCTGATACCATGTGAAATTGAAAAGACACGCTGCAAGTACACGAAATACGAGAAATACGAGGATTTAATCTATAATTTATCAATAATTTTTTTATATTTAATTTTGTTTGAATATTCGCATTTCGATTTACTTAAAAACCATTTATCATGTGCTCACTTGCTTTACCAAAGACAATATACTTTACCAACAGCGGGCTTACCAAAGAATCTTCTTACCGACGAAGCACGCCTTGCCCGTGAAAAGGCCGGGAAGCAAAAGAGGTTAGGTTGTATCCACGTGTGTTACAGTGTAGTTATTTTACGTGTCTCTGGTACAGTGTACATAAACATCTCTCATTCATTCCGTTAATTTGATCGATTCGCTCGACTTGATTCGTGATCACGTAGACAAAGAAAGTAACAAAGACAGGTAACGTATTGTAGAAATATATGAGGAAAAAGGGAGAAATTGCGGTATAAGTTAACCTAACCTTTCTGAGCGCACCTTATTTCTCCCAAATCCGACAGGTTTGATCGTCAAAACGGACAGGATGGCGGCGGCACAGGAGGTCAACAAGAAGAAACGAAAGAACAAACGTTCTCACGCGCAAATGACGAAGAAATTCGCCCGTCAGAGGAACCCGGGCAACAGCAACCTGGACCAGGACACCTATCAGTACATGATTCGCATCCTCGAGTTGATACGCAACAACTCGTCCGCGTCCGAGGAGAGGACGATGCTCGCGCAGAACGTCTACCAGGAGATAGCCGGTCATGAGATCGATTGCGCCTGCAACCAGGTTGGATCCCTCGTTCTGGACCTTCTGCTGAGGCACGCCGACTTGGAGGCCATTCAGAGGCTCACCCGGGCGTTCGAGTCCTCCCTGAGGCGATTGAGCAGCGACAGATTCGCCAGTCACATCTTACAGAAGATACTGACAGTCTGCGCCGACAGAGGCAACAGGGCCGCTATGTCGAGCACGAAGAGTGCCGGTGAAACGAGCACAAACGAGGATTCGGCAGACGCTGCCGATGCTGTCGTAGACGTTAAGCCGTCCGAGGCACAGTCGTACAACGATATCGTTCTGAAGCTGAGCAGATACGTTCTCAACAACAGCGAAGAGTTTGTGTTTGACACCTATGCCAATCATGTGTTGCGAACGGTCATAGAATGCCTGGCAGGATTGATCGAGGAGCCCAACGAAGGTAAGAAGAAGTCTACCATGCCGGATCTCGCGAGGAGACGTCCCGTGGTGCAGGACTACAGGGATCTGCTGATACAGAGTTGCGACCGATTGCAGAAATGGCCGCAATTCTGTCAGTTCGGACGGGAGCAACTGACCTCCGGCCTGGTGCAGTGTGTCTTGTACTCGCTGAAGGATGTCGATTCGGACTTATTGAAGACTGTCATCAAGAAGATCACAAGGAAATGTTTCAAGACGGAAGACGGCGAGAAGCTGCCGAGCATATTTGATTCGCAATACTCTGTCAGGATACTAGAAGCTTGTCTGGCGGTGGCGCAGCCGGAAACCTTCAAGAAATTGTATGAAAACTTTTTCGCCGAAAACTTGGCGCACCTCTGCTCGACGCGAGACACCAACTTCAGTGTGCAAAAGCTGTTGGATTATTGCGTCACCAACGAAATCTTCGAAGAGATATTCGACAAAGTGTCGGAGCACTTTCCGAAAATTCTCAAGCAAGGCTTCACCGGGATATTAGTCAGCATCGGAAACGCGTGCTTGAGACTGCAGGCAAAGCAGGGTCCGTTTGTCAACGCGATGACCGAGCTGCTGAAATGCGACGCGGTCGCGGACAGTCAAGCGCAGCTTGTACGATGTATGGTGACTCTGAAGAAGCCATCTCAACTGAAGGTCGAGTCAGATGGTCCGCAGCCACCTCTCCACTTGCACGGAAGTCTGATAATACAAGCCATATTGAAATTCAACAAACCCATCAAAGTTGTGAACTCCTTATTGGAGATGAATAACGAGGAGTTGCTGCAGCTACTTGGTGATCCGAAGGGCAGTCGAATCCTGGACGCTTTCATGGACAGCAAGTACGTCGGCGAGAAGAGCAGGGAGAAACTGTGCAGAAAGTTGTACGGCACCTGGGCGGAACTGGCCAAGAGCACGCACGGATCTAGGTGCGTGGATAAGATGTGGGCGTGGGCGCAGATGAATAAAAAAATTCTCATCATGGAGGAGCTGGCCGCGGCTGGGCAGTCCCTAGGCTCCACGAAATCGGGCAGGATCATTTCCGCGAAGCTGAACGTCCCCCTGTTCGCGAGAGACAAGAAGGAGTGGTCGCAGTCGCAAGGGAAGGAGGAGAAGACCAAAGCAATGTTCGCCGATATTATTGGAAAGACCTCCGAGAAGTGAAATATAGTGCCTCGTAATGGTAAGAATCCATTTTGTATATAGTATATTTGTTATACAAACGGCAAATTATATTGCTGTATATTACGAAATATCGAATATTAATTATGTCTGTTATATTTTACCGAAAAGAATCAACTGTGCGATTTCATTTTATCTGATTGAACTTTCGCATCCAACTTTTTCTCAACATATTGCGGGGCGTAATAAAAAAAAAAGTCTGCTGATATTGTTTCTTACATTCTGACATAGAATAATCATATATTTCGTTAGTTTATAAATACACTTTATAGGATCCATCATACATCCCCGCAACGCAATAGTGCCTAGGAAAAATTACAATAACATTTGTAGTCTAGATTTGAGCAAAGTTCCCTAAACGCGTATGACCGATAAATCCATCTTCATCTTCCCGTTGTTGACTAGACTTAAATATACGTGATAATCATATCCTGAGATGCGTGCGCGCAAAGTAAAGGTTTTCGAGAGACTCTCAAGTTACATTTACAATCGTTTACAATCGTTAAACCTATCAATTGACTAGGATAATGTCGATGTGTGTACGTTTCTTCGTGTACGAGACATCGAGGTGAGCGTAGAACACGTAATTGAAATCAAATCACTTTGTGATATACTGCTATGTTTGTTGTATGTGCACGTTATATATCAACTTCGTCTTGCGATACATATTATTTTTCATGACGATATCCTGCGGTGTAATAGTGAGATATAGAGTGGAAAGACAGTTACATCGACGTGAGAGAACACATATTATTCGTTTGAGGTGAAGAGAAGGAGAGAAATCAACTCGTGCAACGTCATAATTTCATAAATGCAGATCGTAGGTTCAACCGATATCGAGAACAGTAAAGGGTTTTTGCGTTTCGTTAAATATAGCTTTCGAATAAACGGCGGAGATGCAATTTTTCTAAATTATGTCCAAATAAAAATAGCCCTCAATTGGGACGAGCGCGTTTTTTTTTTTTTCAGTTCCGCTTCGTGTACGTTGAAGAATTTAATTCTGTTTAACGCGGCGAAATGAAGAAACGTCTACGCTAACGGGAGAGGCTTATTTTCGTTAAACGCTACATTTACCGCTATAATATCGATTCGGAACAATGCGAAACGCACATCTGCGAGTCATCGATCGGATTTCACGGGTTATCTATTACTCTTTCAATTGCAGAGATCGTTTAAGACACGCATTACTTCTATTGTTTGGTTTAATCCTAGATAATAAATGGGAATTGGAAATCTGCGGGATGGAGAAAAAGGAGAACGGCTCTGGCACGATGCTTGATAAACGTGTACATTTACGACAATACTATGCATTATTTCGCCGGCGTTTATTTATCCGGAAAACGCAAACGCTTATGTGATCGATTACGCTACTCGTGAAATCTGTTGTTCGTTTTTGCGTCGATAAAATCTTAAAACGGGCTTGTCAAATCCGATGTTTCAATCGAAGCGTGTAATCGAATTATCTAAGGAGTTTACACGCTTCTCTGTACGATCATTTTTAACATTTTTTTTGACCGACAGTATGAAATGAAATGTTAAGTCGTTCAAGCTGTTAAAGTGTAAACATTATTAAACTATTGAATTGCGCAATGCTCGAGCAATACAAATTTTCCGAGGATCCAATCCTTCATCCGTCTTTTGAACTCTCGTGTATTGTTTGAATATCCTTACAAAAATTTAATGACGAGCCAAGTAATGATTTATTTTAAATATTAAAAGCACTAACAAAAGTGCTTTTAATATTCCAAATAAAATAAGTAATTTGGCCTTTTCAGTATTAAATTTCTGTAAAGTAATTTTAATCCAAAGATCGATAACATCAAATTTGATCGACTATTTGAATATTGGAAATATTTTTTTAATTGGTTAAATAATCGTAAAATTCATTTATTATCGAAAATATTTTTAATTAACTAAAATGCCGGGATTAGATTAGAGATTCTATTCAGCGAATTAATCGAACTAACATTTTCCGAGCTTGACGAGCGTATAGTCAAGTTCTTTTTCGTAGATATAGAACAGAGAAATTCTTGTTCACTCGTATTCATATATATTACAAAAGAAATCTCCGGTCGGTTTTCGCGAAAAGGAAAAAAAAACGCAACAATAAGTGTACGCAGAAGATGTATGATCGGTGAAAACACTGTAGAAGATGAATGAGTTAAAAAGAATGGGCGCAGGAATTTATCTTGTGAAAACGTGTGATTATCAAAATTAGGAATTGGCTCGTTTCGTTTCCCGTCCTTTCTTCCTGCCTTAATTCTCGCGAAGAGAGACACAATCGGAAAGCGGAGGGGACAAACGGACATCCCCGACAATTTCAAGTCAATCCCCGATTTCGAGGATCAGGCATTCGATTTCACAGGAATTCGCGTTCCTCTCACGGTTCATTTCAATTCATTCAGAGCATTCTTTACATAGGAGAGAGAGATGAGTCTTTCGCGGGAAACGCGCGATCAGCGCGACTCGTAGTCGATCGATCTGGCCGATCGCTGATTGCCCCTAGCACCGCGACGTCACTTCCCCTTCGACGAGACGCCGGCGGACGGCACCGGCGTGGCGTCGACCTCGTTGACACTCGTGGAGAGATTCGCGGCAGTGACCCTCGGCGGGCTGCGCGAGGCTGATCTTCGCGGCTCGCGCGGCGGTAGGTTGTTGCAGGTCGTGTGGTGGCCGGCCTCCCAGTCGCGATGCTGGCAGAAGGAGCCGCAGTATCGGGCGATCCCGCATCCACCGCAGGTCTCCAGGGCGGGTCTGCCGCAATTCCAACAGCTCTGAAAAAGAGATGAGAATTCGCGCGCTCTTAGCTCGGCCAATTTCCATTTATATCAATAGTTTAGTATTATCTTGGGAAACAGCAAAGCCTAAAGAGAGACATATAAAATATTAAGATGCGATATAATTGCGATATAATATCGAGTGTATATCATGAAAAATAAGATTGAAAAAATATGAGGAAAAAGAAAAGAAAAATTAATTATTTAGTATAGTATGATAACGAATTAATATACACAATCATATCTACATTTTTTGTTTGCAGTAATTTAATGTTAGTTTAAAAATAAATTTCTTCTATTCTAAAGGAGAAAAATATATTCATGTTATAAATATTTAAATACACACACTCTGCATTTTGAGATTCTTGTATCGATTAAACGCACGGCTACACTTACGGATCCCATCATGCTAGTGAGGTGGATATCCTTTTCGTCCTCGGTGGTCGACGGCGCCGAATTCGGTGTCGTCGTCGGTGTCGTAACATTCCTGGCGCTGGTCTCGACCGCGGTCGAATTCCCGTGAACTCTCAGGAAAGGGCCCTGACGGAGACTGCCTGGATTTCTTTGGGACAGAGGAAGGTCCAGTAATCGATGAACCCTCAAACGTTCGTTCGCCCTCGACTCCGCAACCGCAACCGCTACGGCGCGTTGCACCTCCGCCACTGCGGCCCTTTTCACTTCCAACACAGCTTCCTCTGGAGGTCCCAGTGAAACCAATTCCGATTAGCACCCTCATCATTATTTAATTATTATCCACATTTAATTATTACATTTCAAATATAATCCCATTAATTTCATCTATATGAAATTAAATTGTCTATTAATTTCTTAATTAAATTAAGAAACTATAGTTATCTATTAACAATCCGACCGAATTCTAACACAGCTTCCTCTGGAGGTCCCAGTGAAATCAATTCCGATTAGCATTCTCATCATTATTTAATTATTATCCACATTTAATTATTACATTTCAAATATAATCCCATTAATTTCATCTATATGAAATTAAATTATCTATTAATTTCTTAATTAAATTAAGAAACTATAGTTATCTATTAACAATCCAACCGAATCCGATTGAATCCGTTCACTTAAAATCCGCTTAAAATAATTAATTCATATAAGCCGAATAACGATCCGTCTAATAATTTCGTTAAAAAAAAAAAAAAAAAACTGGAGCAGTTCTTACAACTTTCTGATACAATAAAGTTAAAGATTTTTACGAAATATCGTACTTCATGAAGATATTTACCGGCTCTTCGTTTGACTTCGGCCACCCTGTCCTCAGTCGCCCTGATCGTTTGCGCGACGATCTCGCCGGACAGTCGCTTCAGGCTACCATCTCGATCGCCGGTGGACGACTCGACCTGCACGCCGTTAGTCGACGAGGGATTGTTGCCGTTACTGTTGCCGTTATTGCTGGTACCATTTTGCGCCGCGACCACACCTGGCGGAGGCGCCGCGGCCGCCGCCGGGCTGGAGCATCCCCGTCGCTGGAGGATCGCCAACGCCCGCTTCGTCTTCTCGACCATGCCGAGGATGCAGTTGAGCATCACGTGGATATTCTTCCACTCGTCGTCGAGGCTGCCGCCGTTCTGCGTCTGCAGACCGTGGCCCATCGACGGCTGCGGCTGCTGGGTCAGATGATGCGGCGCGGAGAACGCGTTTATCTGATTAATTTGCACGAGGCTAGGCGGCACCGGGCTCGGACCGTGGCCGTGGCCGTGCGCGTGGCCTTGAATCGATCCGCCCGAGGTGTGCAACGGATGGTACCAGCAGTACGACGGGTCCGTCGGCTGCTGCTGTTGCTGCTGCTGCTGCTGTTGATGGTGATGGCTCCAAGGATTGACGGATCTCTTGCCGTATACCGGCATGTCGTCCAAGAGAACACCGTTCTCGTAGTATCTAGAAGCGCGTTAAGATCCGTTAACGGAAGGAAGTGGAAATTAATGCAATTCATAGAGATGCATATAAAAATGCCACATTTTAAACTTAATGGGATTAACACTTTAACTATTACCCTATACGGTAATCGATATAGTATCAGAAAAATTTAAGGTCGACGTGTTTTGTGATGTCTTTTAATATTTATCATCGGAACGCGAACATTCTTCCGCTCCCTCGAGTTCCGGTATCCGTTGCACACACAGAACGCTTTTACACGGCGAATTGTTTGGGCATTCGGCAGTCGGGCATTCGCGAGGGTTGCCTGCGAATCAAAGACGACTGTCTGTACGTGTACACCCATGCACGCTCGTAGACACGTGTGCGCCACGATGCGGTGTGTATTAGCAGGATGCCAATAGGCACTCGAGGCAAGTTCGTCGGCACTTCGTCGGGACGCGAAGGGGGTAGCGCCCAGGCGTTGCGCGCGGGGACGCGGGCAGGGTGGTTCGGGGAAAGGTGGTGCCCCGATGATATATGGAAACGTCACCGGCAGACATATCGAGAGGAGGCCAGGATGGCATTGCCAGGGCGCGCACCGCGTTTTGTCGCCTTCGTATTCGCTTCGTACGGCGCCCCTCTTTCCCTCCCCCCC